CCGGGCCGCCCCCTCCCGCCTCCCCCGGGCCGCGGCCAGGCTGGGGGGAGGAACCGGGGCGGGGAGACGGAGCCCGGGCAGCCGTCCCGGACCGCCTCTGGGACGCCCTCCACCACCCCACGAAGCGCCTCCATCACCCCACGAGGACCCACCAGCACCCAGCAAGGACCGATCATCAGCCCACAAGGTCTTTCCACCACCCCACGAGGCCCCTCCATCACCCCACGAGGTTCCTCCACCACCCTGCCACCGCAGTCTCCCCCCGGCAGTCCCCCTGTTCCCTGCCCTACACACCCAGCGTGCCCCTCCATAGAGGAGCCGGACCCTCTTGGTGGGTGACATCATGGACCAAAGGCACTGTTCAGGCTGCGGGGGCAAATGCCAACCATCCTGGTGTGCCAGGCACAGCGGTGAGTGCCTGTCCCCTCTGCACGGCCCGGTGGGACACCCCTAGAGCAACCCTGGGGACAGCCAGCTGCATGCCAGTGCTGCCCATTGCTGCCCTCACCCAGAGCCCGACCACACGTGGGGTGCCTGGCGGGTGCTGCGGGCTGAAGCAGCACCCAAATATTGTGGTTGCCATGGAGTCCCGACACAATCCACACCACTTACTCACCGCCCCACCTCAGCTGTTTGCCCACAGCCTGTTCTGACCTCTGCACTCCCCTGGCACTCCCCGCCCTCGCTCCAGCAGGCGCAGGCTGTTGTGCATGGCCAGCCGCAGCATCACCAGGAGTTGTTCACACCAAGGGGCCGCAGCGTGCGGTTTGCTGCTGCCATGCAGGGTCCTACGGGTAAATCAGCAGCTTGGGGAGCTGGGCAGCCTTTGGCACCCTGCAGCCTCCGTCTGCCCTGGTCCCTGTGCAGAGGAGCTGCAGGGCAAGGATGGACACGGGCATCCCCATGGCTGAGCTGCCCCAAGGGGTATCCCAGTTCTGCTCTTGCACCCAGAGCCCTTTGCTTTGGGGTACAGCCGCAGTGACAACCTCCCCCCTTTTGGCTGAGGGGCATATGTTCTCTGCCGGGACCTTGTTGACTGGACAAAGCCCTGAGCAAGTTGCTCATACTGATCCTGGCTTGGAGCGGGGTCCGGAAACCTCCAGAGGTGACCGCCAGCCAACTCTGCAAGTCTGTGATTTGTGATCACTAACTTTACCTCCTGCCTCAGAGGTGAGTGCCAGGGCTGGTGTCAGAGGACGCAAGCATGCCACAGCACCTGCCTGCTTTGGGTAGCTCCAGATGCTCAAGGCCACATGAAGGACCTCACTTTCTCATGGCCCCCAACTAGCCTTGTGACCCCTCTGTCGGCAGGAGCTGCTGTTTCACAGCCCAGCCAGAGACAGGGTGAGAACCCATGGCTGCCAGGTGGCAAGGACATCTTGGAGGGGACAGGCAAGGGTGGGCAGGACAGGTGTGGAGGCTCATCTAGTAGGGCTGGACCAGCCTGATGCCAGAGTCCAGGCAGACCTCACCCACGAGTGTCTCTCCTCTGTCCAGCTTGTACTGGTAGCGTTCAGACTGGGCGCTGCACAGATGTGGCACCAGGAGGACTCTGTCCTAAACATGCATGCATCCCGCTCTTCAGAAACTACAAAAGCAGGTCCCAAAGTGCAGAGGCTCAGAGGTTACACCAGCTAGCTGTGAAGTGGGAATTTAAACCAGCCTCCATCCAGGCCAGCAAGGACCTAGGGCTGTCGTCCCACCCCTCAGAAAGTTGGGAAAAGCTGCTCACCTGCTCTCTGCTTTAAGGAGAGAGCAATAATTGGGGCTGCCGTATCGAGGAGGGTGGTTAAGTCTTGCTGAAGGTACAGCCTTGTCCTTAGCTTGCCCTGCAACTCCCCACTAGAAGCAGGTGTCTTTATTTCCAGCCAACAGCTCCGGAGACGAGCCCAGGTAATGGCAGCTGGAACATCCAGCCTGCAGCAGCTCTGGCAGGGCTTGGCAGCAGCAGGCAGTGCAAGAGCCCAGATGCACTGAGCTGGCAGCAGGCAGGAGCTGAACGAGAGGTGGGTACGTCAGCAGCTCTTCTGCCAGAGCTCCAGCCGGCCCCGGGGGCTGCAGAGCCCAAAAAGCCAAGAGGCGGCACATGGGGAGAGCGGGGCAAGCGGGGGGGCACCAAGCCAGGGCTGGCGAGTTGCCCCACGGGGTCGGGCTGAGCCGGTCAGGTTTCGGTTCCTAAGAGCTGGGGTTTGTTGTGCATTTGTTGTCACCATGACAGCCCTGTTGGGATGGAGCATGGTCCTTGGCTGGCTCCTCTTGTTCCTCATGCAGCCCGGAAAAGGAAGCCCGGGAGGAGGCTGTGACTTGGTCCGGAGCCTGGAGCGCGGGCAGGAGCTGAGGAGGAGGTTGCACAGGTCCTGTGATGTGGTGGAGGAGCACGGACACGGCTCAGTGCTCAGCTCCCCAGGGTCCTTTCCCTTCTTGCATTTCCAATAAAGGTCAGGAAGTTGCCAGGCTGTCTCCTACTCTGGGCAACTTAATGAGCCGCATAACTCCAGAGCTTACCCGAGGCACACCGAGGCTCACAGCTCAGTGTCACCAAGACACGGGTTCTGATGCTGCGCTTGTCCCTGCTAGGACCATGTCTATCTCCCCATCTTCACGCAGAGTCCTGGAGTGCTGCGATAGCTCCAGGGTGCAGCTCAGAGCTTGCACGAGAGCACAAGCACAACCTTGGAGCACCCTCTCTGCTCACCCTCCGTTCTCTTTGGCTCTTGCCTCCCCGGAGGCTGGGCACCACAGGCTCCCCGGAGTCATCTTGTTTCAGGAATGAGTCGCTGGCTGGGCCGCATCTGGGGTGGGATGAGGTTATGCAGGAACACTGCTTCTCTAGCACAAGTTGCTACAAAACAGAGGGAAGTGTTTCGGAGGTTGTGCAATATGTATATGGTAACCCCAGCAACAGCGTGTCCACAAGGCATTAACGGAGGCTTAGCTGTGGCTGATGGGCAGCGCGATCGTGGTGTGCGTGTGTGCCGGGTGTGCCAGCGGCACGCAGAGCCGAGGGGGGATCTGCCGCTCGAGCTGGGGTCCTGGCTGCGATGCACGGCACGGGGCAGAGAGGAGGGGGGGAAAAAGCTCTGTCCGCTGGCAGGAGCTTCCTTTCCCCCCACCATGCTCTCAGGACGTGTCAAAAGCAGCGCCCAGGAACAGACTTGCCAAAAGTCATTTCCCCAAGGAAGGTCCCCTTGACTTCAAAGAGAAAACTAAGAAATTTGAGTCAGGCCCAAAGATGAAAGCAAGCAGGGCATACGTCCCACACCAAGGCAGAGAGGCTTACAGTAGGCACTGCAAGGCCTGGGCACAGCTGCTGGTGAGTGGCCAGGGACGGTGATTTATGATTTTAGAGGACTCTGGAAAGCTGTCACCATCCTGCAAATGCTTTGCTTGTTCCTAATAAAAAGCCACAGCATCTCGTGGTGGAAACAGCCAGCCCAGGGCACTGCCTCCTGCTGATGGGAGAGTTCGTGCACTGGCAAAAACCGGGGATGCCAGACCTCAATGTTTCTGCAGCGATGGGGAGCTGAAGGCATCAGGACTTCTGCTGTCGCCTTAACCGAGCTCCGTGATGGTCTTGGGCTGTAGCAAGGGCTTAGCTCACGGTCATT